CTCCACTTAATGCGATCTCAAGCTTTCTCCTTCAAATAAAAATATCCTCTTCTGTCCCCAAGGTCATCCAGCATCTTCTTACGTCTTTTTCCTCGTCTTATGTTCGCATACATGGTATCTCTGTTTTTTGAAAGAGACTATCCAGGAAAAGTGATAATGTGGTAGTTTTTCCATTTGCTTTCCACATTGCCATGGCCATGGAAGTCGGAATTCGCTAAGGAGTGTAACAACTCACCTACCGAAGCAACTAGCCCTGAAAATGGATGGCGCTAAAGCTCCGTGCCCATACCCGGCCGCCGGAAGGCAGGGCTGTGATGCTGAAGCCCCGGCGAGTAGGAGGGCGCGGCGGTGAGCGCGGAAGGGTCCGGGCGTGAGCCCGCCTGGAGCCGCCGCCGGTGCAGATCTTGGTGGTAGTAGCAAATACTCAAGAGAGGGCCTTGAGGGCTGATGTGGAGAAGGGTTTCGTGTGAACAGCCGTTGCACACGNTCAATTAAAAGCCCTTTGGGGGGTTTCGTACATTTATCGCGTATCGGGGGGGCTAGCGATTACTCGCAATGTTTTCACTGCTTGAATATTGACTCAAGCTTGTGCTTCCCCCACCACACCATGATTATCGATATTTTTATTTTCACTTTCGTCACTAAATAATTCATCGTCCGTGACTGCAGTTCCTCTATTTTCTTCCCCCCCCCCAAATTCTCGGTTGAGAACAGCTTCCAGGGTCCACCACGCTTCCAAACACGGCACGGATCATTATGGTTCACCGATTACTACAACGTACATCAAAACAAAGTCTACACCACTCGAATTATTCACAATTTTATCTTGCATTCAGTATCGGAAAATGCAATATTCAAGCTCTCTAGAGCAGTCGTTCTCAACCTCTATGAGACAGCCTCCCAGTAGGTTCTTTTTTTATAAGACGAGGGCCCAGTCCCAACAACTTTACTCGTAAATACCTTTCCAGTTTTGTAAAAGTTCATGCATTAAGCTACCGTAATATTAGTAATTAATTATAGCATAATCGTAGAGAGTATTAGTACACTTGTGTATATGGTGTGGCATGTTGAGAAACATGGTCATTGGTGATATGTTGGGTTTTTGGACTTTATCCATCGTCCTGGTTTTTAAGATAAATAAAAACACGACGTTTCGGAAACTGGATCTGTTTCCGTCCTCAGATGAAGGAAAACACCTATTCAGTTGGGTCCGTTAGAAAGAGCTAGCCTCAATCACTGGACGGACGGAAACAGATCCAGTTTCCGAAACGTCGTGTTTTTATTTGTTATCTTAAAAACCAGGACGATGGATAAAGTCCAAAAACCCAACATATCAGTGTGTTATACACCATCGTCAGAATCCTATAGTAACTACATGGTCATTGGTCACTGACATTTGCAAAACATGTTATTTCGCTCAGTTCTGAGAACAGGATATGCCGCCCATTGTTGTAATCGGCTTGCAGGCAATTTTTGTGACTGGTCATAAACATCGGTATTGCCTTTCCTGAATGTTGAAAGATTTAGATCTCTGAAAATTCCCGATCATTCATGAATACTTATATGTTTAAAAATATGCGGCTTGGTCACTGACATTTGCTACACAGATTTAGGCGTTCTGTGTCTGAAATTCTCGACACAAATATTATTCTCCTCAGAATATTTCCACTATAAAATATTTATTCATGAAAAATGCTTAGAAAATGAAAATGACAAATTCCAGAACAGCCTCTCACGGCCCAGTATAATTGATGCCAGGGCCCACTACTAGGCCGCGGCCCGGCGGTTGAGAAGCACTGCTCTAGAGCACAGAAAGTCTTAGAGAGAAATTCGAATGTTCATTCTTCAAGCTCTCGAGGGCTTTGAGGCTTTCACTCTCAAGACGAAATGTTCGTTTCTTAAATCGTAAGTCGTTGTTTCATCAGACGGACCATCGAATGGTATTATCCATTCTCTTATCTCCCAAAAGCACTCTTATTGTAACTCCCTCCACTGTCCCTTCATTCTTGTACATTTTATCTCATCTGGCATCCCCCATGACAGCTTACTAACAAGGTAAATTACAGATGTCGGAGATTTTGCCAAATTGTTACACATCACTTTTAATCAGGAAACGTTAAAAAGACTGCTATTACATTATATATGACATACTATTTATTATTTCTCATATATGTGGCAAAAGCACTGACATGGACTAAGGCATACCAGTATGTAAGCATATTTCACAAGCAGTAAGGTATCAAGAAATTAACAGAAAGAAATGAAACCTGAAACCAAAACAGGGCACCTTAAAGCAGAAATTCTAAAGAACAAGTTAGGAAATGTACACACTGTAACAATTCTGGGTCTTAGCTTTGTTATTGCATACAGAATTTAATCCAGGAACGCAATCTACAGTCTGAACTCATGTGCAGCAAGCATAATGCCGTTTGCTTAGTTACGTCAAAAACTGTAATTAATTAATTAGATAATTAGTTATGCACTATGATATGAAGATGTTTGGAGGAACTGAGGTACAGTTCCACCATTTTTAACCTTGGCACTTAATAAACGTGAGTGGTCTATTCAGCCCAGCCTCTCTACCCCCTCCCCTGAGAAAGAGACCCCTGTACACACTGGATAACATAACATGTGTTTCATTTTTCTTCACAATATTTATTTGAAACATTTTTCCCACTGATAAATATCACTGGTTGCAATGTTTGTTTAGGACAAGAACATAATCTCCAGTTCTGTTATCCAATTTACATGCTGACTTTCATTCTCTGTTACTCTCTTGATGGGGCATGTGATAGCATAATTGGATGAGGCACTATGCTACAAGCCAGAAGGTTGCAGGTTCGAGTCCCAATGAGGTGGATTTTCTTCAATTTACCTAATCCTTCCAGCCACACTATAGCCATGGGGTCAACTCAGCCTCTAACAGAAACGAGTACCAGGAATCTTCCTGGAGCTAAAGGGCAGCTGGTGCGTAAGGCTGACAACCTTACCAACATCTACAAGCCAACTGCCTAGACAAAATGTGGGAGCCTCAACATCTCACAACCATATGGGCCTTCACAGCCTGTTACAGGGATAGCGTTACCTTTTTCTCTTTACCTGTTACTCACTTGGTACTACTCAATGAACCTTGCCAGTTCCCCTTAATTGCTAGTAACCTGTAAATATTTGATATTTCTTGTGTGTGTGTGTGTGTGTGTGTGTGTGTATACTGTTAGATGTCAGAATGCTACATACAAATGCCAACCATCCAGACAGTTTCTGCAGAGAATTAACATCCAAACTTCAAAGGCAAAATTTCACCCCTCCTGTTTAAAAAAGCACAGAAACAGCATTTTATTCATTCAGTAGTGGATCAGGACAAGACACGACCACTTTATATATGTTGCATTATGTGATGGCTCACTAATTGGGTATGATCAAAACAGACAAGTTGGAAGTCACTCTTCTGATGATACAGGGAGAGACAAAAGACCATTCCACAGGCTGCCATTTCTGCTTAACATACATATCAGACAGTGTCTACACATACAGCACAACACCAAAATTTATCATCAATCACAAGGCTTGTTTTACACAGTGGAGATCTTCCAGTACCAAGTGTGGCAAAAAAAAGTGGCATGCAAATTATGAAAACAAAAGTGTGTAGAATTTAATGACAAAGCTGTACATTGCTCACGAACAGAAAATCAATAAAAAATTGTTCCGCTGTTTGAACCATTTTGTCTATCAACAGAGCCTCATTCATTGATCTCAACCAGACCTGAGTGATCTTCTATTGATCTTAATTCATCAAAAAATCAATCTCAACTTTTGGTTTCTAGATTATAGTTTAGAGACTTCTACAAGACAGTATTAGTGTCTCTTTGTTCTGCAAGTATCAAAAATCTATTTTATCATCTTTCCTCAGGAAAGCAACTGTAACAATGCAGAGGTGTCTCCCGTGGGAGCCTTGGCCACCAGCAGGAATTGAACCAATGATGCCTATATAATAATTCCTTGAATCTAAGTTTGAAATACTGATTATATTCACTGGATATTGACAGAAAGACGAACCCAAAGAGCCATGTAGCTTCACTGGTAAAACACAAAGACATCTACATGCAGGGACTGGCACACATTACAACATCTGTCGTATTATTGCAAATTCAGCTTACGTTCTTACTTGCGCTTTCTTTGGCGGGGCACTTCCCTCACCCGCACTACAAGCTTTCTGGGGTTTCCTTGAGCTTCTCCCTATTGTACCATAGCCTTCTGGAAAAGACTGATGCTGCTGATGATGTTGCTGCTGCTGCTGCTGCTGTTGTTGTTGATGTTGTTGTTGTTGCTGTTGTTGTTGCTGCTGCTGTTGCTGTTGTTGCTGTTGCTGCTGTGTGTGTTTCTTCTTATTCTGTGGTTTGTCTGAGTACCGAGACTGACCTATAAGAACAATACATAAAATATTTAATAACCAAACATGCACTTCGGTCCAATGAAACTAAAATACTGTCAGGATCCATAATGTCATCACACTGTAGGAGATCATTAAAACTAATTAATAACTGGCATGTTCCTTCAGTGTCATAGGTAATTTACAAAAATCTTACTTACACCATATGGCTTAAGAATGTCAAGACATAACACACATGCAGATGTTTTGAGGGTCCACAACTGGAATCAAATTATTGCTAATCATTTCTACTAGGCTCTTGTACCATGTAACAGATATCCACAGATTAAGCCACTGGATCCCGCTCTGAGTCAGATGAACCCTTGACCACACCCTCATATCTTATTCTCCAGTATGTGATTTAATATTATCCTCCAATCTAGAACTAGATCTCTGAAGAAGACTCTTCCTTTCTGATTTTCTGATGAAAACTCTATATGCATCGTGCATTTCTTCCATGCATGCCGTATTCCCAGATCATCTCATCTTCCTTCATCTTAAGGAAAAGTGAAAATTATGGCATTTTCATTATGTAGTTTTCTTTAGCTCTGGTCACTTCCTCTCTCTTTCATCCAACTCCTTAACACTGTGAAGAAAGCAGTCTTCTGGGATTTGGCACCGGGTATATGTGGTTTACACCACATATACACGGTGCCAAATCCCAGAAGACTGCTTTCTTCATAGTCACCGCCGTGAAAGCCTCAAATCTTACATCCTTAACACTGTGTTCTCCAGCACTATCAGTTCTTAATGTGCACAACCAAGTTGACCTAACTGGCTAACTTCATGCAGCATCAGTGCTCCATAGTCTGAGCTACTGACAGAATACCCATGAAGTAGAGTGCTTCTTCAGAAACTACTGTTAACTCAGCTAGTCAAAAAACTACCTGTTTATGGAACCTGAATGTTCTTCACCATGTTCCTTAGAACCTGCCACTGGTCCCGGACACGAGCAAAATACATTCAGTTCACATGCTCCCAGGTTCTTTCTTCATGAACCATTGTAATATTATCCTCCCACCTATGTCTACATATTCCAAGTTGCCTCTTCCCTTCTGATTTTCTGTCAAAAACTCTATATGCATTTCTCATCACTTCCATGTGTGCTACATTTCCCCAGCCAATTCATCTCCCTTGACTTGAAACTTGTAATGATATTTGGTGAAGACTGAAAATTATGAGGCTTCCCTCTGTGCAACACTCTCCTGCCTCCCACTCCTTCCTCCTTCTCACGTCAAAATATTATGCTTTGCATCTTGTTTCCAACCACACTCAGTTTATGGACAGACCAAGTTTCACAGCAGACAGTGTTATAGCTGTGTGTGCATTTTAGAATTTACATTTTTGACAGCAGACATAATGGTATAAGATTCTAACCAGAACAGAAGCAAACATTCTCCAATTTAATCTGCTCTTAAATCCTTCATAATTGTAGATTTTTTGCTAGAAAACCTAGGCACAGAGGAGTAACATTAACATTTATCTTAGCTAAGCAAACTGTAAAGATGTGAATGAGCTTTCTGTTGGACTTCTATGATTAATAATAATGAATATTTGGGTTCATAACAGCAGGGAAGTTCCTGTCAAAAGAGGAGTCAAAAGAGCCTGTAACATGTAGTGAATGGAGATTTCTTAAAAATGATCAAAACGATTTTCATTTGCTACGTTTCAGTCACTGATAAAGAAAGTAAAGTTGTCTCCTGGTTAATGAAGTGCTACACCACAAAGACATTTGGGGAAGTACAGCTATATAGCTCCACACAATCTTAATGAACTTCAGCACTAGATTCAGGTGACTGACTCATAAGAATGATGCTGTTGAAAGTACTTAAAAATTTGTCCCAAAAGGAACTGTATAGAGTTCAATTAAAACTTTATGTTTTCAATGCCTCCTCCAGCCCCATTCAGGGCCCAGGCCTCTTATTCAGTTCTCTAATAATTTTTCACAGACAGTAGGAATCCATGGACAAGTGATCATCCTGTTGCGAGGCTACTACCTAAACACAGGACAAGACAAACACCGAATAAACACAACACTAAACACTCATTCCCTGAGTGATATTCAAACCCACAATCCCAGCATCCGAGCTAGCGAAGGCAGTTCATGCCTTAGACCACATGGCTACTGTGACCTGCCAATTGAAACTCAATATGTGCACAAATTACAAACAAATATTCATTATCCCAGCTGTATGCCTGACATAGCCATTCTAGCAGATCTTAAAGGTTATTAATTAAATATCACCACATTTCATTAACTGATTCATGTATTTCATTGCATTTCATGCATTCATTCATATGACAGCAAACAGGTTAACTTGCTGCAGCATTTTGTCCATTTGTTCTGTTACTTCAGCCATACAATTGGTTTTTCTGGTTTTCAAGCTGTTTTATTGTTGCTTCAGCACAATCAAAATATAAAGTTGTCCATATCCTGGTTCATTTGCATCAGTTGGATACAGCAGTAAGACCAAATGGTAAATCTAGTTATGTATCCAGAAACAGTACAATGACAGAACTCCTGCCACTTCTCAGGTTGTACATTTTCCAAAGAAACTGTGCATGTCCAAGACACTGCATAACATTTTTGTTATATGCTGTTTTATAGTGAGCGGGTCTTTTAGTCTCGATACCCAACCGCAAATCTGGAGGGTCATCCCTGGCTGTCCGTGACTGTTTTCTCTAACTTCTAATACAAAATAAGTATTGAGAAACAACAAAAATGTGACATACAAGGTGTGGCAATAAAGAACCCGGATTACTTTTATGACTCATTTCCGGCCACGTCATTGACGAAGAGGAGGGTAGGGCATTGACCCTTGGACTTCCCTCTACCGTCACACAAAGTTTCATTCACGTGCATCGGTTAGTCTGGCCGCGACCATTGTTAGAAGCGGATCGTGTTTCTGAGCTCCGTCGGAATAATGCTGAGTGCTAATGCAGAACAACGTGCTAACATCAAATTCCTCACAAAACTTGGAAAATCTGCCACTGAAACTTA